TGTGTGTTTCTGTTGATGGATGCGCATTCTGGCTTCCGAATAAATTACAACAACAGCAATGAAAAAAAAACGTGGACAAACCATTCACTCTTGTTCAATGCGAATACCGTATGCTGGAATATGAGCAGTCATTTATTCCGTCATCGAGCTGATAGTGCGCGCGCACAGGTGAGACCTGAACAGCACACGTTGATATCTGGGTTTAAACTAAACTCATTTAAGCTTTGCCAGTTTAAACATTTAAGAGCCAGAGGACGCGAGCTTGCGCGCGCAGTGAGAAGATTTGTGCGTGCGCTCATCCGAGGCGCGCAAACCCGCGGCTCAGATCGCGCGCAAATATTAAGCTCTCTCTGAAGTATTGTTTAAATGGACAAATTCACACAAAAATGGTCAAAATGCCCGTCTTGGCAAGTATCCTATAACAGACATAGCCGGCTGAACGTACTGGATCAGTGCCCTGGATCAGTGCATTCACTTAAAGTAGGGATGCACCGATACCACTTTTTCCAGTACTCGCCCGATACCGATACTTTTATTTTTGGTACTTGCCGATACCGAGTACCGATACCGATATTTTTATTGCATTTGTACATTTTTTTAATATTGGGTACAGAAACCAAGAGTATGTATAATGTTAGTTGGTTAACTTCATTTATCAAATAGATACAGTCAAACCAAAATCTATTTAGACACCTTCATCTTTTCTCACATTATCACTATTATTTTTTTTATTTATTGTTATACTTGTTGATATATAATCACAAAATTTGTGCCAAACCTGGATTTATTTCTCAGTCGCATTTGAAATCACAGTCACAATTTTTATCCAAAAAAGAAAATATCACAATTCGATATCCAATCGTACAGTCCTTGTCTTTAATTTTTACGTGTTCACCGAGACACAGAATTGGCTGACCACTTGATGGGATCAAATGCAACAATTGTTAATATACCAGGTGTAAACAAGATCATAAACAGGTGTGAACTAAAATGGCAAGACTCACATCTGAATAGATGGTACTAATGTAACAACAGCCTTATGGAAATGATCTAATATCTTCAGTGGCATCACTCCTTCTGTTTCCCTCTAACCTCATAGCAGGGTCACATCTGTCTGCTCTTTTCTTCCCTGACCTTACATCCTCTCTGCTCCTCTTCCCGTCTCTTTCCCTTTAACCTCCTCCCTTGCTACTGGGATAGTCTCCCTCAAAATGGTATTGGAAACTAGTACCTGTAAGTTGGCTGTGAGTGCTTCCTTTCCACTGCACGAGTAGTATGTGTCAATCCCAACGTACGCCATCACCACTCAAGCCACGCTTTTATCTAATCAGTGCACACTGGGAGAAGCTATTGTCCAGTGGCTCACGCTGTAATCACACAAAATGATCTGCCTTTCAACCTTTGAGCACATGCAGTTATGAGCAAACACATGCCGCTGAGAGTACTTGTGTGTGTGTGTGTGTGTGTGTGTGTGTGTGTGTGTGTGCGTCTTGTGTGTGTGTGTGTGTGTGTGTGTGTGTGTGTGCGTCTGTGCAGTTTTGAGTCTCTAACTTCAGCTCTCATCTTCTCATTTCTTGCAGTCATTTCCACCTTCATTTGTCTCTTCCTTGTTCTGTCTGTCTCTGACGTGTGGCCCTTCAGCCTGATCTTATGTTTGTGCTGGCCCATTGCATGCTGGAGCCTGTTGGGGTTTCATGAATGTACATAGATTCTCTGTCTCCATTCTGCTGCTTCTTTACCTTTAGATCTGCTTTCTAGCTTTCACTAGGTCCTGTCTGAAACCTAGACTTGGTGACTGTTAGGACTGCACATTTGATTGAGTACATTTACAAGATAATGATTATGGCTGCCATAATTAAAGTGCAGAGGGCTTTTGTGTAGTGGTCGATCGATATATAGGCCAATGTTTGGCTTTTTATTTTTAATCCGATACCTTTTTCCCCTCTTTGTCCAATAAAGAGTTGGAAGCAGGACTTTTATTTTGACGGGGCCTAAGCGTAGATGCATAGGAGCACCCATTCTCTCTCTACATTAGTTTACTACCATTGTTCTGTCTAGTCATACAAATTGAAGTGCTGTAATACTTTTTCTGTACATATACCTCTGTGCATGATGGTCTGTCCAAAGGATTCAAGCTGCGCTAATTGGATGCAGACAGTTCAGTGCTCACTGTGTGACTTGCATGAGCAACAATTACCGTTAGCTAGCTTTTTTGAGAAAATACAATTCCTAGATACACATGTACCAGATTCCTGAGTGCATTGTTGGTTACATTGTTTACTTCCTTATTTTTCATTTATGAAAAATGCACAATCAATAAGTTTCTATCTAAAGTATAAATGTTTATTTACAGATTTATTTTAATAAAGTTCAAATAATTTTTTCAAATTAGTTCATTTTAAATGATTTCTGATTGTTTTAGTAAATGTGTCATTTAAATTTAATTGCAGAAATTATGCATCTGTTATTTATCTGTCTTTAAATGAGATGTATATCGGTTTCTATCGGCCATCAAAAATCCATATCAGTCCACCACTACTTTTGCAAATTGCATGTCTTTTAGGTTCCTTTTTTTATGCAGGTGTATTATGCAACCATGTTGCATACATTCATGAGAATGTAAAATTGTAGTCCTATATGTATCAACGGTTTCTCGCTCTGATTTTGTGATTCATATCCTTAGCTGTTGTTGAGTTATGCGTGTTGTGGCTTTTCACTGTTCTCCTGTGTTGTTGCTTAAAGGAGCAGTTCCCCCAAACATAAAAATTACCATCTTTTAATCACCCTGATTTTGTTCCAAACCTGTATATTTTTGCTTTTTCTATAGAACACAAAAGCAGTAGTTGTGAAGAATGTTCAAGCAGCTCTTGACTGCACAACAAAAGTGAATGAGACATTCATAGAGCTACAGTGGAGCAAATGGTTTTAGCAACTAACTAATTTTGATTTAG